CATGATTTTTTTTTTCAGGAATTCTGTTTTTGTGGACTTCGATAAGCCTTTTCTTCTTGTGAGCATCTCTTAACCGCTTTAGTATCACGTTTATAATTTTGTTACATAAAATAAGACATATTTTTATGGTGGCAAAATCATGGATATATTTTTAGTGTCACAATATTTTTTTTGTATCGGCTTATGTACATATATTTGTTGGAATGTTTTTATTGCCACTGGAGTTATGTGGATACTTGCCTATTGGTTATGGTCATTGAATTTGTCACAGATTATTGATGAACAGTTGAAGGTTTTAAGGCAAGCCATCAAAATGGTCTTTATACACAAATCCGTTTTAAAATTTATGTTTTCTTTGCTTTCAATTTAACTTTTTGATTATTTCTACTGCAGCATACGTTACTGGTTTTTAGATTAGTCGTTTATCCATATTCATGTTGGAAACTGTTATGGTTTTATTTTTTCCTGTTTATCCATTTATTGTTTTGTTTTAACTGATGATATCAAATTCTTTATTCCTCATGTATTTGATACGTCGTATTCAGCGGCACAAATTTGGCAACTGATGTTTACTAATTCCTGCATTTCAGGTGATGACATTGTATACGTGTGTTTTTAGCTGCGCTTGAAAGCGGCACAAAAAATTTCTGTGGTAAACTAACTTAGTTGGAAGCAAAAATGGCTGATGTTACTGTTTCCACTAATATTTTTGAATGCTCATTATGTCCTCAAGTTTTATTTTCAACTCCGGAAGAACTATGTCATCATATGAGGCAATACCACGACATGCGGGACATGGTCATACAATCTGTTTTTTTCAGTGATAAGACGACTTTCCAAGTTGGTTATGCTGCACTTTTTTTTTTGATATTTCACTGAATAGCTATGATCTAGAATGATCTTGCTCATGGGTGGAGGGTTGGGTTTGTGTTATTGGGTCACACGGTTCAGCGTTTGTAAATTTTAATTAGTTATGGAAGCTTAGATTTTTTGACTTCTTTTTTGATTAGAGAAAAGTAAGGTTCTCGATGCAAAGATTGACAATTCAAACTGAGCGTTAGTTTGTAATCAATTTCTAGCTTTCCAAAATTTTTACATTCAAATGTTTATTTTTTTTATTTAGAAGAAACTACTTTTGCTTAGTGATTACAGCATTGGCTAAAAACAGTAGAGGATGGGCGAGAACAAGCAGGTGGTTATGTGCAAGGCAATTCAAACCCGTTCATTGCAACTGTGAACTTTCAAGATGTATATTATTTAATTTTATTTCATGTTTTACTTTGTGGTGGCTATGCTTCCTTCAGAAGCTTTCCTGTTTTAGGAGTACTATCTGTTGTGTAAGAAGAAGTATTGCACTTTGAAGCGAAGACGTCTTTCTGGAGAACAGAAGCAAGAAAACAGTGTACAGCATGTAGTGTGCGCAGCTTTCGTGCATGTCACTGAAAGCTCCAACGGGTATGTAATTCCCAGACCGGGTATATGGTTTTTTTTAATTTCAGAATGCTAGTTCTAGCTAGGAGGCTGTTTTTTTTTCTGTTTTGAGTGGAAGGAATAAAAATTTTTAATTCGTAGGTTTTATTTTAGGTCAGTATGGGTTAGGTACTGCCTGGAACATTGTGGGCATCCTAATAAATCACGTCTGGGAGTTGGTTCTGAAAATAGTGCGTCAACGAAGCAGGGAAGCAGCCACTTAAAAAGAAATTCATCAAGTACACGAGCTGATAGCGAAGATGAAGATTACGCTAGTGAGGAAGCTATGGAGGAAAGTGCGGTACCAGCAAAAGACTTGACAAAGTCAGAACCGGTAACAGGATTTTGTCTTACTAATATCAGAGCTTAGAAGAAACCAAACGCTTCTTCTTTACTTTTTGCGAAGGCAAAAACGTTCAACGTCTTAAATGTGGTGTTAGCAAGCGTTGTCTTTTTATGGTTGCAATCTATTGCAGTGCCGCAAATTCGTTTTTTGAATGAGTTTTCACAGTTTCTATCAAATAATGGAGTTTTTTCATCCGAAAGTAAGTAACAAGTAGCTGCTGAATTTATGCAACTTACACTTTCTAAACGCTGAAAAATCATCTCTCTTTGCTTTTGTTTTTCAAATATTAAATGGCTTCTATTTAGGTTGTATGTAACAAGGTGCAATTGTCTGAGGAAGCTAAGGCAAAAATTTCAACTCACCGGAAAGCTCTTCTATCTTCAGTAGAAATCGAGCTGGCTTCTGCAAAAGCTTCAGTTTCTTCAATCAAGGTTTATTTTTACACTTCTAGCCCTTTCAAATATATTTTTATACTTTAGCAATGCTTCTTTTCTTCTTTTTTTCAACTGTTAGTTATAAATGTGTTTACCAATTTCTATTTGACTTTGTTATAAATTATTGCGAACCTGCGTCAAGGTTGACAACTTTGTCAATTTTAGTAACAGTAATTCTAGTGATTTTATAGGATGCTGTTAATGATGAACCGACAGCAGATGTGTATGCTAAACTTCAGTTTATGGCTAGTCAGCTTCGTACTGTCACCCAGGTACTTTCTGATTTGGCTGTAGATGTGTCACCCTCCAGCTCGTGCATACCAATGGATATATAAATACTACTGTTTATGGTAACCTTGCAGATTAGTGGACTAAAAGCTGATTTAGCTTTCAGTGGACTTTTCAGTCATTTTTTCTTCGTTTTTCATTATGATCTTTCACTTTAATCTCCCCAAAGAGTACATATATATAAATCTCCGTAATCTTAATGCCGAACTTTCGCGTTGAATTGAATTTTGCTGAGGTAGCAGCAAGTAGTTGAAAGTGATTTCGATTTCTTCCTCTCAAAGAACTATAAAGTTTATAGGTCGTTTTTTATTAAACATGAATTACTGAAATATTTCTTCAGCAATATAATGACTGAATTTTTTTGAACTGGAAGCAAGTTTTAATTTCTTTTAAGTGTCTTTTTGTTCATCACCCGAGGATCAGTCCGCTTTAGAAAGAGTTCAGTTTAGGAGAACTTTTCTTCATTTCTTGTTTCTAAGATTTTAGTTAACTAATAGTAGTGTAGATATGAAAAAAAACGTTGTCTTTTCGGACTCTTGTAGTTTGAAAGTCTGACCTACCTTTTTTTGTCCTGATTTATTTTGTTCCCTCATCTTTTTTTTCGTCATTTGTGGTCTTATTCTCTTAATTCTCTGCTTTTTTCTGCTTTTAGTTTTAGATAGTATTTATAGTAAGTCAAGAGAATTGTGACCAACAGTTTGGCATCATATCAAAGGAAATTCGGTGTTATTTTCTTCATTGTATTGGTTTTTTTTGTATATGAAAAGTTTAGGTTTGTTAGTGCTTAATGGAATTAAATCGTTTTCAGTACAGTTTTGTCTTTCCAGAAGGCTTGCTTTGGTGGATTTATTTTGGCGTTTATTGATAGTTTGTCTAGTTTGGAAAACCATTTGTATTTGTTGCTCGGTGTTTATCCAACGTTTCGAACTCGGATCTTTTTGCATATCTTCATTCATTAATCTTTACTAATCTTTGAACATTTGTTTTATTTTTCAAAGAACTGCTTATATTTCAGTTCTGTCATGGGCATGCTAGCAGAAGAATGGTTGTAGAAAAATTTTTCAGCTTCAGCTGCTTGCTAGCGCCTTGCCATTGTGTTGTATAAACAATGAATACTGTGATCAGTTATTATCTATATATAGTTTTGTAATGTTTTTTCTGTTTTTTTGCCCACTGATTTCAGTTTTTTCCGAACAGGAGCAATAAAAACCAATAATGTTAAAGATAAATAATTTTTCCCCTTTCTCGGAAGAACATTTTTTCAAGCATTGAAATTTGACCTACCAAACATGTTGCATTATTTATTAATTTCCTCCAGGCGGCTCATACGTATCGTTTGGTATTACCAGCAGCACTTAAAAAGTAGCCAGCATGAAAATAAAGGAGATGCGTATTAATACCAGACGAAAGATTCAGCTAAAGACGAGTAATGAAAACATGTGTAGCGGTTGTTTCTGAATTATTAGAAATGGTCTATGGGTGGTGGGGATCTCCCCTTTATAACTTCTAGTGAATATCAGAGGAAGTTTTGCAGGCATTGCATTACAAATACAATTTTGGCTTTACTGAAAATGTTGGACAGTTTTGAAGCTAGCAACTGCAAGTGACCATCAGGGTCCATAGATGTTTAATACTGATACGGTGATTACCCTGAAGGAGCAAGGTCAGAAGTGGCGGCAGGTTTTAGGAGTTGTTGACGGCGAATTTGGGATGGAGCAAGTGTTACTGCAACCAAATTTAAGTGATTAGAGGAAGGAAAAAAGATTTGATTGTTACCTGCTTGGGCAGCTAGATATTGCTAATGGTGAATATTTTGCTAGTTCCTTAAAAGATACATGGTAGTAGTATTTTTGAGAAATTAGAATGTACTCTGAAATGACTGTAACGACATTCATATCAACAGGGTTAAGGAGAACTGTGAAAATACCAAAATTTGTAATCATCTGACATGCAGGGCATTTTATGTTATTAACAGCTGTTTATTGAAGGTAAGTGGTGGCGGGGATATTAAAGGAATTTACGTTTGAAACAAAAAGTACAAAAACCATTGAGTTTAAATAGGGGAAATTGGAAGTTAAGCTGAAAAGTAGAGGGAAAAAGAGATTTATCTGTGGAAAATCTGATGATGCATGAAGAAATTGAGTACGGTTTTCAGCAAGTGTCGTCATAGCTGTCAATTCTTCCACCAACACCACCATTTCCTACTCCTTATACTTCTTTTACTTCTTTTTTCGCCTTCCAAATGGGAAAGCATTGGTTACAGCTGTCAAAGAACAATGCAGATTTTTTTGATCAAGCTAATTTTACAAATTGCTTTTTTGACGTAATTTTTCGTCAGTAATTTTATTACTCTTGTTACTTGCAAACTAGAAAAAAGGAAAAAGAGAATTACCAACTTTTTTTTTCTGCTTTGAAAAATAAAAATTGTTGATAAAAAACAACAAAAAATGAGACGATTTCAGAGAAAGGAGAAAAAAAAAACGAAAAAGAAAAGAAAAAGAAATAAGATTGTTTGAATGTATAACCACATATTTGGTTTTTTTTTTGAACGGGGTGCATCTGTTTCTGAACAAATGGTACGTATAATATATTTTTAACCAAATTACCAGTCGTTCTTGGTGGTATTATTCATAGCTAATGCGAACTAGTAACTCCAAAAATTATTTGAACGTTTTAAACGGTCATTGGCATCGGTTATCCATCATCAAGTCAAAAGCGAATACAGAACTAGTTAGCTGTTCAAAGCTTGAAACTCAAAAAATTTATTATTAACGGCAATAGATTGGGAAGATGGAATAGATAGAATAGAGATGGATGAATGATATGTGAGTAGATTTTGCATTGTGTTCCATCTTTACTGCTGTCATCGTATAAAAATAACTTGTTTTTTTTTTTTTGCAAATTTGCTTACGCAAATAAATTTGTTTTCGAATTCTGAACAGAAAACGATTTTGAAATGAATTAAGTTGGTAATAGAAAAGGCAACATTCTTCTAAAGTTATTGAAAAATTGAGGCACAACTTTTCAAATATTTTTTTTCGCATGTGTGCGTGTGTGTTTTTTTATTTATGTTGCGGGAAAGACAAAAATTTGGGAAGTATAGGAGTATTCAGTAGAATCTTTTTTGCTTCTGCAGAATATTATAATTTTAATGCATCAGAATTTTTGACAAAAGAAGAAATTTTTTTTTTCTGCGGGTTATCAGTATAACCTAAGCAATAATCAAACTGAACACTAAATAACGAAGCAATCAAATTTGCGTGTTTACATATGGCTTCAGTGGTTTCCGTTTGGTTTCATTATTATTGTCACCAAGTTGCTGCAAGTTCATCAGTGAGAAGAGTGACAGATAGCTTCTTTCTCAACATTTTATACAGCTGAAAACTTTATCTTTTCTTTTTATATATTTTGTAACCGAGCATTGTTGCGGAATTTATCTACGTTTAGTATTTTTAAAGTTGCAGTTAATACCCCTTTAAGTGTTTATTCACTTTGGGTCTGAATCATCATTATCATATCCGTTAACAGTGGGTATATTGAAAGAGAAGAAATCATGCCTGCATATAAATTACATTTGAGCGGATGCGATTTACTCGTAGCACAAATGCTGTATCTGCTGTCAGACACATAAACTGGAAAAGTTTTTCAAATGAAACCTCTAAAGTTGGTCACAGTAATGACTTGACTTCAGATTCGTTTGTTACGAATTACAAGCAGTTTTAAATTTATAACAAAATCGAAAATCACTGAAATCGCATGCGCTTTCTGAATATGACTGATGGTTAACAATTTGAACACCAGCGACTAATAGTTCGTTTTGAAAAAAGTTGAAGAGGCAACAAAAATGTTTTTATCCTACAAGGCTTGACTTTTAGAAATACGTAAACCATCAGAATCTTTAATGACTGATACCTCTGCTGTTGTTGATGTTTCGTTTCACCTTATTTTTGTTTAGAAAGATCATGTATTAACCAAACGTTTTTTTTTTTAAATTATAAATCTGTGCACATTTATATATAATTTTACCTTTACCGTTATACTTCCTTCTTCTAAGCAGCGATAAGAGCTAGAGTAATCTTTTTTGTTCTTTAAACTTGCTAAGCCAACAGCAAGTTTTGAGATGCGATTGTGGATATGTCAATAATACTATGGTTGTATAGAGGTTAGGTTAATCGACGGAACTTAGAAATTCTTTAAACGTGCAAAAAAAGCATAAAAAGTTTTAACGATTTTAAACAAGAAAAAATAATGAATAAAAATAAAAGAAAAGAAATAAATATACATTTTTTTCTTGCTTTATAATAATGTGAAGTTTTAAATGATTCAAAATTAGCATTAATTTACATTAAAAATGGTCTTTTTTCAAAATGTTCCCTGTGAACTTCCATGCACTTTAAAGTGGTGTCTGCACAACATTGGCTTCATTTGGATTATCTTTCGTTGCTCGTTAAGAAAGTTGAAGATTTCGATCAGGTAACAGCGATGAAGAAAAAGTAGCAAAATTAGGTAAAAAAAGATTCTTTTTTCTTCACTTTTTTTTACCTTTTCATTTTTTAATATTGCCTTCTAGTTGTAACTATTTGGTTGGCAAATATAAGTTTGATCAACCTAATGGTTAAAAAGATAACAGAGCAAATGATGTCTTAGAAATGACCAATGAAATAACAACGACAACTGCAGCAGTGGCGACAGCAACAATGACGCTGACGACGGCACAAGCCTTAGCAGACTATTTATCTCCAATTTACGATTGACGAACGTCAAAAGATTTAA